CGGGTGACCTAGGTCAAATCTTCACCCGCCCATCATCCAGAAAGGCATGCAGGCTGCGCCCGCCCATAACCCACCCAAGACAGCTCATGTAGACCTAAATCCGACCCATCACCCTGTGGGTCGGGTGGGTGCAGGTGGGTGAGGCTCTGGGCGCCTGATGCCCAGCTCAGTGCGGCACACCTCTTCCTGCCCTCATCTCCTGCTGGGTCTGACGAACAGGAGAGGGAGCACAATCATCTCTCTCGCTCTCCCAAAAAAAAACATACAAAAGGAAAACGGCCAAAGCATTTCCCTCCTCCAATTCCCACTCCACCACCACGTCCTTCTCCCCCTCCTCCTCCCTCTTCTCCTCCTCTCATTCATCAGCTATTCCTGCTCTTCCGCTTATCGTCGCCCGGGAGAGCAGGATGAGGGGTGAGGACGGGAGGTGGAGATGGGCCGGGGAGCACCATCCTCCTCATGCCACTTGTCGTTCTGCCCCTCCTCCTCCTGTTCTTCCTCCTACTCGTCCTTCTCCCCCTCTTCCTCCTCCTCCTCGTCGTCTTCCCCCTCCTCATCGCGCTCCTCCTCCTGCCACTCCTCTTCCTGCTTGTCGTCCTTTTGCTCTCGCTAGTCTTTCCCCTCCTCATCACGCGCCTCCTCCTGCCACTCCTCCCCTTCTCTCCTGATTGATTGATTGGTGTGGGAGCGGTCCTCCCTCCCCTCCCCGGCACACACACACACACACACACACACACACACACACACACACACACACACACACACACGCACACAATCAGTTTTATGTCTGTCGGTCCTTTTCCTATTGTATGTCTCCCCTCTGATTTTTTCTAAGTATTTTTGTGTGTGCCCAACTGAGCACCCTTAGGTAGTGCCAAACAGTCGGTGGTTTCTCGTTTGGAGTGCCAACTACACTCTTAGGGGGGCTACTCGGTTTGGGTTATCTGTGTTGCCTGTAGGTGATGACGGATGCTCGTCGGAGTGTCTCCCTGGCTCAATGGGTGGTGGGAACCAACAGTCTGTGGGGTTCACCCGTGATGTGAGTAGGTGATGTGCTGCTTTGCTCCGTGTTGGATGTGTGGACGACCCCGTCTTCGCTCCACCACTACCTTGCTGCCCAATCCGCTTGCCTCGCAGGTCGTTCTGGGCATGCTGCTGTCTTAGCTGCGTGGCGTGGCCGGGTTGTGGTGTTGCCTTGCGCTTCGCTGCTTAGCTGCCTTGCCGCCCATCCGCTGGTCGTGCCTTCCGGGTCTTTTGCTTGCGCGCCCTGTAGTTTGGTTGCCGTGTTTGGGTTGCCTTGTGCTCCTCAGCATGGTCGCTCTGCTGCTTGTCCGCTTGCCCTCTCGTCCCTTAACGCTGGACCCTCAGGAACAGCAAATTTTGACGAGTTTTCGGTCAAAACACTTGGTTTCAATTTCGTTCAAAAAATAAAAAATGTCCATTTTGACGAAATGGCAGTTCCTTGCAGTGTGGTTGTCTTGGTGGTGTTGCCTGGTGCTTCACTGCTTGGGTGCCGTGCTGCGAGTTCGGCGTGTCGTGTCGTTCCTTGCAGTCGTTTTTGGCGTTGTGCAGCCGTGTTGCCTCTACTGCGCTGCCTGGTGCTCCGCAGGGTTGCTGCCCGCTGCTATGTTCCGCTTGGGGACAGTCTGCCTTCAACAAGGGTCAAAGGGTTCATGACCCAAAACCATCAATACGGGCATTCCGCAGATTGTTGAGGGTTCAGCCTCCTGATGAATCGGTGCAACTCCGACGAAACAATCTATCATCAGTTTTCTTTTTTTCGGTTTTGCATGTTTTGATACTTCATTTTTTTTTGGGATGTTTCTTTGGCATGTTGGTTGTGTTTTGGGCACTGTGTATTGTCTGTCTGCCCACCCGCCTCCCCCATGCCCTCCATCGTTTGCTCTCTGTTATGAACTTGCCACTTTTTGTCATCAACTTTTTTTGTCCCCTGCCTCTTTCCTCACTTTTGTTCGTCAGTCGTTCTTCTGGACTCGACCTTTCTCTCTCAACCGTCAGGCTGAGCTCTCGCCATGAGGACTTGGTCCATCTGTACGATGGCATTCTCGTCTGAATGCCGTGCTTTTGTTCTGCCGCCTCTAGTCTTGCGCTGTGTTGTTGTTTTGGGAAAGGTCGTCTGGTGTGAAGCTTGGTCACTTGTTTTGGGAAAGGTCGTCTGGTGTGAAGCTTGGTCGCTGGGGTTATATTTTGATTACTTACCATACACACACACACACACACGAGGGCACAAACACGTGCACACACACACACACACACACACACACGCGCGCGCGCGCGCAGCACCAGAATTGCCCACGGCCTAGGCCGCGGGTGTCACATAGGTCAGGGGTACGCCCACGAGCGGCAGGCGTAGTCCCCCGAACCCGACTCCAGTGGATGTCGGCCTCAGGCAACTTTTGACGGTTCCAGTACCAGACTGAAATGGCTGGTGGCGCCAGCCAAACGAGGTTCGCACCGGTTCATTTTTCTTCGGCGCGCAGGGCGATTTTAGGCTCAGCGTTGATAGCTGAGAAAGGTACTGGTGGGTTTGATAGAGTCTTTCCCAGTGTGTGGCATAGTCTCGATTCTCTCGATGGACCACGGATCAGATATGAAACTGAGCGGAGCAGGTACTGCGCTTGATCGTGTGGGGGGAAGATGGGATATGAAACTGATCGAAGCAGATACTACACTTGAACGTGTGGGAGGGAGGGGGAAGGAGACCCATTGTTAGTCAGGTTGGGTTCTCTCTCTCTCTCTCTCTCGCGCGCGCGCGTGCGCGCACGCGCGAGCGTGCTTTTTTTTTCTTTTATAAAATCTCGATGGATATGGAACTGAACGAAGTAGATAATATGCTTGATCGTGTGAGGGGGAGGATCGGATATGAAACTGATCGAAGCAGATAATATGCTTGATCGTGTGGGGGGGTTGGTGGGTGAGGCGCATAGTTAGTTAGGTTGGGTTCTCTCTCTCTCTCTCTCTCTCTCTCTCTCTCTCTCTCTCTCTCTCTCTCTCTCTCTCTCTCTCTCTCTC